GGTACCAATAATTTGAAAAAACGATAGACTAATGGAAACTAAATTTCTCTAGGGCTTAAGTTGGTTGGGACACGTGGACTAATTAGTTTAATTTGCAAATAATAATACAAATACTTTTTATTTTAAAAAGTGATTTGTTTAGGCCACCAAGTACACAGGTGTACACTCAGTAATAGAGCTTGATATAATAATCCTATTTACTTAATATTTAATCAATCTGCGTTTGAATAAGTTAAACACTTCTTACTTAGTTAATTACAAGATAGATTTCGCGATCTATTAAAGTATGAATTAACTCCCTTTATTATCGGAGATTAGAGTTGGATGTAAGCTAATGTATTTTTTTAATCCTTTTTGGTCTTGTCTTTATTTGGCATGTTACTTATTTGATTACAACTTGTTTGGATGGTTGTTACATGTCGTTTTATAATATATCATATTGGATTATATTGTAATTATTTGGATAAATTGTATTGTTTGTTGTCATTTCATAATGTCATACACCAGCAATATGAAGAATAAACTTGCAATATTATGAAGAAACAATATGATAAATGGTAGAATTACTATATAGAAAATACAATAAAAATAGGATTATTTAATAACATAAAAATGGTAAGATGAAAGAAAGAAGTAAGGTAAAGAGGTAACCACACCAAATCAATATTAAATAAAACTTGTCACCAAAGGCTCAAACATGTGTCATATATGTCACACGAAGACTGAATATCAACTTTACCATTTCTCTAACGTTTCAGATACCGAGTGAATTATATAAAAAAGGGAAAATGTTTGACTATTTTGCCCAACATCTTGGAGGATAGGAACTAAATGCTTAATAAATGTTTAAATAACTATCATGAGAATTGAGATTGAAATTAGCCAATCAAGTCAAAGGGCCAATAATAAAATACTACAATTTTACCCATAAATTATGCATTATACATCAGTTTGTCTGCTAAAGATTCAATCTTACAGTTCATACATTTGACTTCATGTAAAATTTTGTCTTTGCCAGTCTATTTTTCTTGAACCAGAGTAGGGGAATCTTTAAAAAAATATTATAAAAAGAATAAAGAACAAACTTCAATATTTTTTTGATAATTATGATATTCAGATCAACTTGCGCAAATATCGACTAATAGCATGATTGATGCTAAGCAAAAATAACACGGACAGTGAGCCCCTCCAGGATCAACTCCCTTAGGCCATTGACATTAGAACATATAAACGACCCTAGCTAGAGCCTCAGAACACCATCCTCACCAATATTCACCTCGTTGCACTATCTCGTAGTACCGTCTCTCAAAGAACAAGTAAGTGCGGATCATCATACTAACGAGCCTTAATCTGCTCGAATAAGGAAGAGTTAGCCGCAACACATGCAAGAACTCGATTGGATTTTGAAATAACCGAACCCGGATCGCCTCGGACCATAAAAAACGATCTAAGGAATAATAGTCACCATCTCATCATGACCTTTCCTCGTTTTTTGAAAGAGAAATAAGAGGGCACTGATCACGAGTCAGGATAATCATATATATGTAGGGTATACGTTGAAATTAATTCATATTTTGGGCAAATTTATAGCTGTGCCTTTTGTTTTGTTAGGAATGTCATTAAATTAGATGGCGATCTGATATTTTCTAAATCGTTAGGTAAGAAATTACAAGAAAAGTTCTTTGAAGAAAACGTGAATTAGAAAGGATTGGTCAATGAAGTATGAAATGAGAACTTTTAATATACCTCCTATTGCATTTTAATTTGTTCGATTTTTTTTTTTTTTTTTTTTTTTTTTTTGGCTTAAATAAGTGTATTTAGTATGACGGAAAATATTTTGCTTGAGCACGTGAGATGGAATTTTTTGTTCTAAAAGACATGTCATGAAATAAGAGTGAGATGGAAGTTTAAAGACATCATGACTGCGTAATTCTCAAAACTAAATAAAATGTTCCAAATACTATATTTTATTATTAAAAAAGTGTTTCAAATTATAATGTGTGAAAAATGGTAGACATAATTAACTTCTGTTGTATGCAATTTTAAGACTTTCTTTGTTAACTTTTTGGTGATAACACTTGGTTAATAGCCTGTTTGGCCAAGTATCATTATGGCGAAATATTTTTTTATATTAAAGTAAAGTTGTTTAGCCAAATTTTTAGACCGAAAAAAGTGTTTTTAAGTAGAAGCAAAAATATTTTTTGAAAGCTTGATCAAACTGCTAATTGCTACTCAAAAGTGATTTTCAAATTGATTGGCCAAACATAAATTGCTTCTCGCCAAAAAAGTACTTTTGAGAAAAAGCAACAACAAGTGAAGCCTGGGGAGGTCAATGTGTACCCTGCATTATCCCTACCTCGTGAAGGTAGAGAAATTATTTCCGATAGACCCTCAACCCAGGAGAAGCATAGTCACATCATTAGTTGAAATGAAAACAATAGTGTAAAATGACAGGCTAGTTGCTCTTCGCTCATGCTCTCGGCGCACGATAGTTAACGTGCGCTGCTGGTGGTTTCCATGGCGAATGGTAGAGGTAAGGTACGCGGACGTGGACGAGGAAGGCCCAGGAAGATCCCCATAGCTATCTATGGTAGCTCTGTGGGAGCTCAAATTCAAGCTGAAGAAAATTTGCAGAACAAAGAAGCTACACCAGAGGCAGTACAAGGAGCAAGCGGTGAAGCTGAATCTTTGTCGATGGGTTCGAAAGTGAAGAAGAAACTTGATCTGAGTACTCCGGAGACAACTAGCAGCTCAGTAGAGGTACAGATTCAGCATGCAAGCAAGGAAGCTGCTAGCTCAGCCAATGGAACAGTGAAATCGGTACATGCAGCTAGTGAAGGGGAGATAATGTAGAATAATCAACCTAAGGAAGCAGCTAATAAACAAGAGAAAGCATGGACAAATCTATTTCAGAGGAATCGAGCAGTTGAAAATGGTATGTCTCTGACTTACATACCCCCACAACTCATAGATGGCCAAGTAGTGGTTCAATTAGACAAAAAGGAGGTAGATCTGGAAACAGAGAAATGGAAGAGTGCAATAATAGCATACATAATTGGGGAATCTCCAGGATACAATGCTATGAGGAGGTTCATTGGGATTAATTGGGTGAATATGGTTGAACCAGACCTATATTTACATGAGGAAAGGTACTATATCATCAAATTTCAAACTAGAGCTGTCAATATGGGCGGGGCTGGGCTAGCCCAGCCCAGCCCATGTGGGCTTAGCAATTGACGGGCTGGGCTAGGCTAGCCCACCATTTTGATGGGCCTTATAATGATCAGCCCACCCCAGCCCTATGTGAGCTACGGGCCCCCACGGGCCGGCCCATCATTTTTAAAATATAATTTTATATTTTTTCTTTAAGTTCTAAACTAAAAAAAGATAAATATTTGAAAGTTAAAAAAATCTTATTGGAAAATTTTCACAAACTTAATAAATTTCTATACGGTTCTAATATATCACAATAAACACAAAAAAGGTAAAAGACAAGACTATATTTCATTCACTAAAAGTCAAAACTCAAAACAAACTATTCACGAGAACGCCCATGACGCTTATGGGATATCTAACACAACATCTTGATCAAACACATTTGAATCCGCTTGTAAGAAGGTTGTCTTAACATCTTCACTTTCTTCTACATCTACAATTCGTATGCAATATTAATTAGTTAAATAGTAAGAATAATTAAATTTTTAAAACTAATTAATGTTTTAAGAGTTTGATCTTTTAATATGATGAGCTTAATAAGCTTTAAGCTTGGGATACTCTTCTTGTTATTTTTAAATACGTATTTTTATTAAGCCCACGGGCCGGCCCAGCCCAGCCTGAGTCAAGCTTCACGGGCCACGGGCTTACACAGGTCGGGCTTAAAAGCCTCGTTTTTAAATGGGCTCCAAAAATTCTAGCCCAGCCTTGCTAAATCACGGGCTGGGCTGGGCTGGCCCAACGGGCCAAGCCCATATTGACGGCTCTATTTCAAACTACTGAAGACATGAAAGAAATTTTCTATTCTGGACCGTACACCTTTAACAATAGACCTATCATATTGAAACCATGGACACCAGAGTTTAATTTCAACGAGGAGTTCCCCACTGAAATTCCTCTATGGGTTCAATTTCCTAACCTTCCTATGAATTGCTGGGGCCATGACTCTTTGAGTAGAGTGGCTAGTGCAATTGGCAATCCAATCTATGCAGATGAGCGTACTGCAAAGAAATTGAGAGTATCCTTTGCAAGGATGATGATAGAAGTGAACATTACAAGAGAATTGCCTTCAGAGATAACAGTCATGGATCCTAATGGAAGGACATTTATACAGGCAGTTAGGTATGACTGGAAACCTGAATTTTGTCAGAAATGTTTAGTGGTTGGTCACAGATGTGGTGTAGAACAACAACAATATAAGCAACAAGATAAGCAGCAAGGCAAGAGAAACAAAGAAAGTCACCATGGAATGGAGATAAAAAGGACCAATAAAAGAAGTTTTTAATCAAACTAAGCAAGCAGAGGAGACTAGCTTACAACAGTTTGTAACACAGAAGCCTGGTCAAGTAGGAGATGCAGACATTGAGAAAATACAGCAAATGAAGGATCAGCCAAATGTCCATCAGAATACTATGCAAACTCCCTCCCAACAGCAGTGTATAGTGGAAAGAACAATGGACAAAGGCAAAGCTATAGAGGACAAGATTGAGCTGGATATGGTAAACTTTCCAGCTTTATCAGCTATTACTATGAGGAATTCTTTTGAGCTACTGAACAAGGGTTCATGGTGTACTAGCAATGTACCCCCTGATAAGGGGAGAGCCAGAATGACATACTGATGAAGTGGCTATTTTGGAATATTAGGGGGGTGAATAAGAGGTATAAGCAAAAAGAGCTGAAAAAATACATTAGTAGACAAAGAATAAACTTAGCAGTTATAGTGGAAACAAGAGTTAAGGAACATAATGATAGCAGAATTATAACAAAAATAATCCCAGGGTGGAGCTATGCTACCAACTATCAAGATGCCTCAAATGGGAGGATATGGTTTTCCTGGGATCCTCAGTGATACAATGTTACTATCCTAAGTGTTGCAGCTCAATTTATACACTGTATGGTACAAGATAGGATGGGGATAGTTGATTGTACAATTACAGCTATATATGGATAAAATACTGTAGAACAAAGGAAGCAGCTATGGAGTGGTTTAAAGAGTATTGCAGCAGGAATCAAAAAACCATGGTTATTATCTGGGGACTTCAATGCAGTGCTATATACAAATGATAGGATGATGGGCAATCCTATTACTTACACAGAAGTGCAGGACTTTGTTGATTGTGTAACTACTCTGAATTTGAATGAACTAGCATGGACAGGTGATTACTACACTTGGTCTAACAAGCAATCTGATGCAGAAAGGATCAGCAGCAGAATTGACAGAGCCTTTGGTAATTATGAGTGGATGATGCAATGGGGTCATGTGGTCACTGAGTATGGATTGCCATACATATCTGATCATAGTCCAATGGTGATTACTCTTCATTCAGCTCCTAAACCTGGTAAAACACCTTTCAGATTCTTTAATGTGTGGGCAGATCATGACAGCTTTATATCCATTGTAGAAAGAGTATGGAACCAATCTATACTATGGGAAAAATGAAGAACATCTGGTAAAATTGAAGGAACTAAGACCTTTGTTCAGGACTCTAAATACTGAGCACTTTAGAACTATCACTATGAAGATTGAGCAGTCCAGAATAAGCTTAGAGGAGGTGCAGCAGAAGATCAATATAGCATACAATGACTCTCTGATTGAAGAAGAGAAAAGGTTGTTGCAGAATTTAGAAAAATGGTCTCTTATTGAAGAAAGTGTATTAAGGCAGAAAGCAAGAACTAAGTGGATCAAACTGGGTGATTCAAATACAAAGTATTTTGCAGCTGTTATGAAGGAAAGAAGCTAGAGAAAATAAATAAATGAGCTTGTGTCAGTCACAAGAGATAAGCTTACTCATCCAGAAAGCATAAAGCAAGAAGTGGTGGGATTTCTATAAGTCTTTAATGGGATCAGCAGCCCATTCTCTTCCTGCCATAAATAAGGTGATTATGAAAAATGGCCCAATTTTGTCACAACAACAGAAAATTGCTTTATGTTCTGAAGTTACTGACAAAGAGATTTATACTGGATTGTGTGTTATTGATAGTGATAAAGCACCAGGATTTGATGGCTACAATGCTTACTTTTTCAAGAAGGCATGGGTGATTATAAAAGATGAAGTTAACCAAGCTATTAAAGAGTTCTTCAGTACTGGGAAGTTATATAAAGCTGTGAATTATACTTCTATCACATTGGTTCCTAAATTGGCTAATCCTAGTACAATAAGAGACTACAGGCCTATTGCTTGCTGCTCCATGTTGTATAAATTGATCTCTAAAGTCTTAGCCGGCAGAATTCAGCAAGTTATTGCATCAGTGATAAGTGAAGCTCAAGTTGGATTCATACCTGGAAGGAGGATAGCAGATAACATTATACTAGATCATGAGCTAGTTAAAGGTTACACAAGGAAAAATATTTTTGCTAGGTGCATGATCAAGATTGACCTTCAAAAAGTTTATGATTCAATGGAATGGAGATTTTTGGAGCAAGTTATGATTGAAATGGGATTCCTGGCAAGGTTTGTGAACTGGATAATGGAGTGTCTAACAACTGTCAACTATACTATCATGGTCAATGGAGAGCCTACCCCACCATTTGATGCTGCCAAAGGCCTAAGACAAGGTGATCCTATTTCCCCTTTCCTGTTTGCAATAGTAATGGAGTACCTTAGTAGAAGTCACAACAAATTAAAGGAGGTAAACGGTTTCAAGTTCCACCCCAGATGTGCAAAGTTAGGGATCACTCACCTAAGCTATGCAGATGATCTTTTGCTATTTGCTAGAGGAGATCTAAACTCTATCTCTCATATGCATGATTGTTTCAATCATTTCTCTCAAGTTTCTGATTTACAAGCAAATTTGAAGAAGAGCTCAGTGTATTTTGGAGGAGTTCAACAGAGTACCAGGTTAGAGATTATTCAAAAGCTGGGCTACACAACTGGAGAATTACCATTTAAGTATCTTGGCATTCCTCTTGCTACCAAGAAACTTTCTCTGATCCAATGGTACCCTCTGATAGAAAAGATTGCAGCAAGGATATCCTCATGGACTGCAAAGAAGCTTTCATATGCAGGTAGAGTGCAACTGGTCCAAACTGTCCTATTTGGTATCCAGTCCTATTGGTCACAACTATTCAACTTGCCCGCAAAAGTTATGAAGATGATAGAGGCCTACTGCAGGAGTTATATTTGGTCTGGGATTAATACCATTACAAAAAAGTCTCTGGTGGCTTGGAGTAGGATGTGTACACCTAACTCAATTGGGGGCTTCGGTTTGATTAACCTACAGATATGGGACAGGGAAGCCATAGCAAGACTCTGTTGGGATGTAGCAAGTAAGCAAGACAGACTATGGATCAGGTGGATTCATGCATTCTACATCAAAGATAAGAGACATGAAGACATGGCAATCCCACAACAGGCAAGCTGGATGGTCAGGCAGATTCTGAGTGCCAGAATAATACTACAACAGGTACAACATAATCAGCAGATCAACAAGAGCATGGTGAGTCAATTCTACCTTCAGCTATTGGGGAATAGGCCTAGAGTCAACTGGAAGTGTATGATGTTTCAAAACAAAGCTAGACCTAAATCCATATTCACAATGTGGCTACATTTACATGGGAGACTGTTAACTGCAGATAGATTGATCAAATGGGGGGTAACTGTGGAATCAAAATGTTCTCTATGTCAACTTCATGCTGAAACTAGTGACCATCTATTTGTGGAATGCATATTTACTAAGGCAGTGTGGCAGAAGGTATTATACTGGATGCAAAGACAAGATGTAGTTCGAGATACCTGGATGCAACATCAATAATGGATGATACAGAGTGCTAAAGGCAGATCTTATGGAGCTCAATTGTATCGAATGGTATATGCAAAGGTTACACATAGTGTTTGGATTGAAAGGAATCTGAGAATATTTCAACAGAGAAGCAGAAGTGTTGATAGCATAGCTAGAGAAATAGCCTACATATGTAATGTGAGATCTACCAAAGGAATTAATAGTTTAGTTCAACATTTTATGTTTCATTAGACATAGTATGTAGGTTGAGATCTTCTTCTTTGAGTATCTGATAGATATAGCTGCTGAGTTTATAAAGTAGGCTATGAATTGTAAAGATTATTGGTGATTAATAAAATGTTAATTACCTATAAAAAAAAAAGCAATAGTGTATAAACCATGAAAAGGAAACAATACCAACAATAATAGGATAACAAGAAACTGTAGCAAAAGAAATAACCGGTAATAATACAAGTTGAAGTGTAAGAAAATATGAGAATACTATTGATTCTACAAGTAAAAAAAGGATACACTCGCAACTACTTACTAGCCTTCTATTTTATTTCTCGATCTCCATACCTTCCTATAAACACTTTTCAAAATAAGCTGATTTTAGAAGCACGACCAAACAGGCTATAAGTAGCAACACTTCACTTAGAATCGGTCACCACGTCGACTTCAATTATTCAAAAAGAGAAGATAAATTTTTTTAGCTACCGAAATTCGAAAATCAACTTGTCGAGAAACTATCAGGTAGGCGAGGGTAACTTGCCGGCAAGTATATGATAGTCTTTTATTTGATGACAACGGGAAAGGCAATTGACTGCAACTTTTTTCGGCCTATTTAATTTTCTAATGGGTGGGGGTAACCGAAGGAAGACAGCACGGGGCAAAGCAAAGGGCAGAACATCAAGTGATTTGTTAGGGTTGTCGAAGATCAAGGAAAAAAGTAAGTGCGGTATAGTAATCAAAGTTCCTTTACCCTTAGAAATCTCGGATTGGAATTCTTGGAATGAAGTTTTCTTTGTGAGAGCACTAATCTCGTCTCCTATAATAAGTACGCGTAATAATGGAAAATGACATTGTATAGCCGCTGTAAAAATAGTAGCCGAAAAATATATAAAATGTGTATAATATATATATATATATATATATATATATATATATATATACACACACACACACACACACACACACACACACACATTCTGTATGTTATATACAAAAATTATACAAGTTTTATACTCTTTTTCGGCTATCAGATGTAAATAGTTTCTGGGGCGGGTAAAAGTGATAATACCTCAGTATTAATTAGGGGTATTAGCACCTTTTAGCCCACGCCAGAAACTATTTATATTTAGTAGCCGAAAAAGTGTATAAAACTTATATAATTTTTGTATAGAATATACA